TCTGTGTGCTTCCTGTATTTGTATGGGGATGTCTTTCCTTAATGACATGACTTTCTCTTCTACAATCCTGTCATGGTGTCCCACATCTCCTTCATAGTCAATTCCTGTGTTTTTAAACATTTCCACAATCTTTGATTGAGTGGTCCAATTCTTCAACTTTATCCCCCAGTGTTGATTTCATTTGTTCCAGCAGTGAGGCTTTCTTCTGTTGTTTCAAGTTAGCTCATTGAGTTTCATACTTTCTTCTCCATTTCTGCTTGAGTTTTCTTCAATGTTTCTATTTCTTTTGTAAATTAATTCAGAAGTTTATCCCTATCTCCATTTAGCTCTTTGATTTGTTTGTTCATGTGTTTTTTAAATTCGTTGAATTCCTTGATCATGTTTATGATTGTTCTTTTAAATTCAGTGTCCTGAGTTACCTGTAGGGAGTTTGTCTTGTAGAACTCTTTTTCCGGATTGGTGGAGTTTGGTGGGGACATAATGTTTTGGCTTTCCATTTTATTATTCCCTCATTGATGATTTTGGCATGTGAATTTCTTTTGTTGTTTATGATTCTGATATGATAATTATGTTGATGTATGCTTCTGTTTGTATTATCGGGGTGCCTAGATCCTTTCTTTATTGGTTATGTAAAGCTGGTTGGTAGAGAGTTCAGGTTCTCTCAGGTTTATTTTGGAGGGAACTGATGGCTTTAGATCAGCTATTCAGGAGTACCCACAGAAGCTCAATTCAGATTCCAGTCAGGTACACTCAGGCTTCCTTCACTACAGAGGCAGGATCTGGGGGGCTCTCAGGCAGGCCCCTGTGTTCTCAGGCCCTCTGCCAGAGGGAGACCAGAGGGAATCCAGAGGGAGGTCAGAACTTGGCACTATCTGGCAGTCTGCTGAGATCAGAGCCACTACACTGATGGAGGCTGGAACCCTCCCTCTCAGGCTGTCTGGTAGGATCTCAGCCTTAGCCTACCAAAGTCAGATCTTCCCTGGGGCCTTGGAAGGGGCCTCACAAAATCTGAAGTAGGGGGATGGGTATGGTGCAATTAGGGGAAGCTCACCACCACATGGAGGCAGGGTCCAGGGGCTCTTAATTCAGGTTCCAGTCAGGTACACTCAGGCTTCCTTCACTACAGGGGCAGGATCCGGGGGCTCTCAAGCAGTCCTCTGCATTCTCAGGCCCTCTGCCAGAGGGAGACCAGAGGGAGACCAGAACTCAGCGCTCTCCGGCAGTCTCAGAAAATCTTTACTTTTTCAAGTCGTTTTCTCGGGTATTTGTAACAGTTATTAAAGACCAATGAACACATGAATCATATTATGATTGGCGACAACTGAGTGCTATTGAATATGGCTGAATTAAGGGTAGGACTCTCCTATCACAATGAACAGATGTCATATACATCAAAGGATATGAAGGGATTATACAGCCTCTAAACCAGGGGGTGGGAATTTGGTGGGTTATATCAGAATTCTGCTAGCTACATTTTTCTTTTGAAAGCCAAAATCAATCACTCCATCCTGCACGACAAACTTAACTGCTGATTATCTTTCATTAGTGACCTTCTGTCAACTTTAGGCTTGGAATCTGTTATAGAAGTATCCTTTACTCAGGAATTATGCTCTGTACCCTGATCACAAAGACGTGGGGATAACAAGCAATATTTTACTAGTACATCATTAGGAGCCATAAGGAGAGGAGCTGTCCCATTCTACATTCTCACATTTTTCCAATGAATAGATTTTTGTTGTAGGTGAAAAACTAGCATCACAAAGTGACACTGGATTCACAGCACATATTACTGAAGAACATTACCTCATGTTACAAAATGCGACCATCCAGCTCGTGGTGCACCTGAATATTTAAAAGGTCATTCCATTAATTCTTGGAAATGTGATAAGATCATTGAGCAAAAGCCCACTGTTGGCATTCACTTACTGTAGAATAAGTTCCTTGGTTTGAAGTCATGCTATGCTATGCCATATTTTTGGATTAAAGCATGCTATAATCACAGATGGTAAATCTGGCTGAAAATATGAGCTAAAATGGCAAAGTGGCATCCAAAGCAAATAGGTTCTGAAGTGAAAAAAAAAATGTCTCTTCCATGAAAGCAATAAATGAACTGCCACAAGGTGGCTGGTTCCATGGAGAAGGGTGAATCAATGGAACTAAGTGTTATTATTTTTTTATTCTTAGATTGAGTTCTCAGCACTAGTGACTGACAGACTGCCTTTGTGAGAAGAAGTCCATGTCACTAAGATCAGGAATAACTTTATCTTTACTCACATAATCACTCTGTTTATGAGGCTGATGAAAAAGAATCATGGGTGGTTGGAGAAGGACTGGCTGATAGCTGTAGAATAGCAATCATATCTATCCAGTTGCTGATTTCTTCTGCTAAAGGTTTTCTTTGATAGGCCTTGATATAGGACAAAAATATCTTTGTTCTCTGTCATTTCCAGATGTGGCACTTACCTATGCCTTCCTTTGAACTTTTCAACAAATCCAATCATGTTCCTTCCACACATTTGACTATCTAATAAACTGCCTGCCCCTGCCTAAGAATGATCATAGATCTACCCCCTGGCCGTCTCTATTCTAGAAAAGAATTTAAAAAATGGAATGATTTCCCAGAGTTATACCTATCAGTGGGATTTCCCTTTACCCCTAATCTCAGGGCCATCCCTGAGGGGGACTGCAGTGGAATTGCAAGCCACTGCTAAGCAGGTACAGTACATAGAACCACTGTAAGTCAGTGGACAAATTTTTCTTTCTCTTTAGTCAAGTGATTAGAGAAATTCCCCTATCTTTGGGTTGATATAGTGGAGGAAACAGCAGGAGTGTGTGCCAGAGAGAGTGAAACCACATGCTCCTGCATCTTACTGTGCTTTTAGAAGTCATTCATCTTATTTACATATCTTCCACATCATGATGGAAGGCTCCTGTTTACTCCCGATTGTATAGCTGGGGGAGTAAATCAACAATCAATTCTTGACACCTTAATTTAGAGATAATTTGGTGGCCTTTTGGTAAACATCTCTGCTAGACTCTATATAATCTAGGAGCTATTTTTCTAAAAAACAAGTAGGTATCTGTGAAGAGTAAAATTGTTTAAATCTTGAATCTTAAAGTTCTCCACATTCCTCCCTTTATTGTTTTTTTTATGACTCCATTGTGAAACTTATAAGCTGTTACAAATCCTTGTAGCTACCATTAGATATTATGGGTCATATGGTCTAAGTGGCAGAACAATTTATATGGAAGTCTGGATCTTTTGCACAAATTTCTCTTGTTTTGGCTTCTCTAAAAGCTGAACATCCATTAGATTACTCAGTAATTGCACTACTGTAGCATGCCCAGTTGAAGTTTGTTATTCTCAGAATTCAAAGAGCTGCACTGTAGGCATAACGCCTTTTCTCCTTGCTTGGAAGGACATAGCAGCTTTCTCTTTGCTTTGGAAGGTATATAATGATATGGTCCTCATCACTAGGATCCCAGAATTTTTTTTTGAAAAGTTCTTGCATAAGTATATCTTGCCAAGGCGTTTGAGGTAGTTGCTACTTCCTGCTCACCAGGTTTAATGAGAGTAATATCATCAATATGGACCATATGATGTCTTGTGCAGTGGACAAAATGCTTGAGGAAGGTCCTTGCAGGGCAGACCATGAATAAGACAGCAGAGAGAAATAGTCTGAATAGATAATGTATATACAGGATCAGTAGTTGCATTTAGGACCAAGGAAGGTGCTGATCTATTTTAGCAGAGAAATCAGATATATACAGAATGGAAATGGCACCAGGAATCATTACTAGTTTATGAATAAAATAGCCCTGGGTTACTCCTTAAGACTTATGAGTCCTTTACAAAGACTAGATAGGCTATTAAGTAAAAAATTTAGTAGGAATCACAACCTCTGTATCCTTTGTACTCTTCATACTGATTCTTATATCTGTCTCCTTCCTTTGCTACTTCAAGTCACAGAATACCAGAGTTCCTTTACCACTGGGGCAAGAGCCACTCTTGCCTTTATATAACTATGTAATCAGAGAACGAATTCTTATCGGAGAATGAATTCTTTGTTCTCATTCTAAAACTTCTGCTCTCCTGGAATGGTGCTTAGTCTCTTCCAATGACTGTAGTAGTTAGCATCAGTAGAAAAGCAGAACCAGGAGTAGGAGTATTTGGGAAAAAGAGACTTTTTTTATTAGATAAGAATTTATAAATTTTTCAGGAGATGATAGATAAGGTATAAAAGGAGGCTCTGATAACCAGTGGAAAGTCACTGATCAGCGTTTCTGGAGTAGGGGTCCAGGGAGACAAATTGGTGCTTGTCAGAGAGTATGTCAAATCAAATATATTCACCTGTCAGTGACTGTGAAGAAACGGATACTGGAGAAGTATGCATGAAGCTGTTGCCTGTATTTCTGACAGTAGATTGGATAGCACTGTTGATTAGAAAGACTTCAGTTGGGAAAAAGTGCTGGACATAGAATGAGGGTAAGCAAGTAGAAGCCGGAATCCTCCACACCTCTGCATTCATCTGTCAGTGTGGGGGAGCAAAGACACAGCGGCACCTGCTGAATTCCTGCATCTCTATCTCTAGCTGTGACAACTGTCAGTTTAACCACTGCTGTTTCATTTCTGCTTTCCACATTTGTGGGACTGCCTGTTGGGACCATCTCTAACTGGGAAACCTACAGAGGAGAGAGATTCTAGGAACCAGTTTCAGATTGGCCAAGTTCGCTCACCTCCTATGCTTACTACTCCTCTGGTTAAGCACAAGGCACGTACCTTGAAAGAGAGGTGTCTGAGATCAAAGCTTCTTAGATGGCTGAGTAACTGCAGAGAACACTGTCCTTTCAGTCACCCAAACTACAAAAGACTTGATAAGGGAAAGAAATACATTTATGTTTTCTTAGGTTAGATTTTGTTACAGCTTCTCGGCCTTTTCTTGTTAATATACTTCTTCCGTAACACAAGGGAAGCAGTTGATGGAGCATGATGGTTTGTTTGGAGGTTGATGGAAGGTACCCTTTGGTCAGAAAAACAGTTCATGCATTTTAAAGAGGACAGTTACCAGGGGGCTTCTGAAAAAAAAAAAATCCTTCCCCTTCAGCGTTTGATTCTTTGGGTTTGACTGTTTTTCAGAGCAAACATTTTCTACCTTTGCCATCAGGTAGACATGTCACAGGAAAAAAACAAAACAAAACAAGGAGCACGTGGGGTTACCTATTTATTGTAGTTTTAACTCCATGGAGGAAGATTGTGTGCTCTATAACAAACATACCCCAAGACTGAGTCCATCACCTCTAGTGTCATTCAAGACTTTCATGACCTTCGACCTTTGACCCAGGTGAGTGAACTCCATGTTGTCCTTTGCTTTTTAAACTACGTTTCTTCTGATGAATTTTCATTTGCTTACTTCACTGATTTCCTGTTCTAAATCTCCATGTGTTCTTAGCCATTTCCCACACCTTTATCCTGTATAAAACACTCACATGTGCTTTTCATTTTAAACACCATCATCTCCTTGAATTCCTCTCATACATCTAAGCACTGCATAAATATTTACTGTCATTTTGGTGCCCTGCAGCAGCATCTGTTTCAAAATCTTTATGGCTCAGTTCATTTTCCTTTTTGATGAATTTTTTCTTGCTCATCTTTAGTTTCCTGTTTACCAACACTTACTCTATTTATCTAGTTGACTGACCATGTCTGCAACCTTTCTTTTCCCCCATAACCAGTCAGTCAAATTCCTTGACTTTTCTCTTATTTACCTTTAGTCCTTCAAGTCACTGTGATAACAATAGCAAACCCCATAGCCTTTGATATGTGGATTCATTTTGTTGACTTATATATTTAATTGAAACATGTATCTAATCTTATATTTTAGTTAAATTATTGTTTTTATACTAAAATAGAATGCATACTTCATTTTATTTAATATTTTCTTGCTAAGTGCATGAATAAATTAAAGTCTGATACCTGTTATAAAATATTCATGAATGATTACATAGCTCTTTATTAAGTGAATTTTAAAGTTAGTTTAAACGAATTTAAAAACAATAACAAACGATATTCATTTTGTTAAGTAACTGGACAATTTATTAAGTTTGCAAATAAAAATCAATTTTTTGTGTGTTACTTATTTGTATCTGGAAAATATAGGGAGAATTATACCTTTATTTTATCTTATTTTATTTTTTTTTTGAGACAGGGACTCTCTGTAGCCCCAGCTGTCCTGGAACTCACTATGTAGACCAGGCTGGCCTTGAACTCACCGAGATCCACCAACCTTTGTTTGTTTTTTGAGACAGGGTCTCCCTGTAGCCCCAGCTGGCCTGGAACTCACTATGTAGACCAGGCTGGCCTTGAACTCATAAAGATCCGCCTGCCTCTGCCTCCCAAGTGCTGGGATTAAAGGTGTGAGCCACCACACCTGGCTTATACCTTGATTTTAAAATAGTAATGCTGTAAGAATTTTAAAGAGAGAGTAATATTTAGAAGCCCATGAAAATAAAGTAATTGCAGTTACAATAAAGTTGTGATGTACTTTAAGGTAATGCAAGTTTCATTTGTAATTCATTAAAGACTCTCTAAAGATAATATTAGGAATATTTCATTGAGCTCTACTCCTTTATGATTCTAATCCTAACTCATTTAAAAGGTACTCTAGGTAATTGCTTAGCATTTATGAAACTGACCTGAGTCATGCCCTATTGTAACTCTTCTTCTGCTTTGTGGGAGGTTTGTCAGCTTGGCAGTTTCAGTAAAGTCTCCTTCTTTCGGTCTGGTGAAGTTTGGTTTATGACACTTGGCAGTATTTTATGTCTGTTTTCCTGTCCTACTAGAGAGGAGGGTATATAAGAATCAGATTCTCAAAGGGATTATGGTTCAGAGTTTAGCATCTATACCTGTCAATAGGTTTTTTTTTTTTTTGCATTCATTTATTCATCTGTGGACAGCCATCATCTAAGCAAAGTGATAATTGTATATGGAGGAGATATCAACCGATTACTACAAAAGTGTGTCAAGTGTTACTTTAAAGAAGGGAGCACGGAGCAAGGGTAGGGAATGGCACATAGTTGAGGTACTTGTTAAACGTACTGAGTAGATTAAATGGTAGATGCACGCATGATTTGATCTAATTTGACTATGGACTGAGGGTAAGAGCATAGTCTAGATGAAAAGCTTAAATGAGTTTCAAAGAATGAAACAGTATTAGAAGGAGAAAGAAGGAAAGGCCCTCAAGGCAGTAACAGCAGATGTGACAGCTGTGGAGGAAGATCAGACACTATGTGCAGGTAAAGGGTCTCCAAAGGACAGAGCAAGCCACTCATATTTAGCCTTGACTAGACACTTAATATCAGTATTTCAAAAGCTGCTATCATGTAGTCTCCTTTAAAATAGTTTTTCCTTGTGATTCTCTTTCTTGAACAATTACTAAACAAACAAACAAAAAATCTAGAAACCACCTTCCCTCTTCCATCTCCAACCTCATTTCACTGGTGAGTCTTGTTTGTAGATTTTCCTTATCTCTTTACTCACTCTTTCCTCCCCTCTTGGTTTCCTGCAGTCTGTTTTCCAGGCAGCATTTTATATCCCATTCTTTCTTCATTCATTCAACAAACAGTTACTGAGACCTGTTGTATTTTTCCCTGCTGTTTCAGGCTGGCATGGGAGAACATGCCTTTAAATCCCAGCACTTGGGAGGCAGAAGCAGCGGATCTCTGTTAGAAGCCAGCTTGGTCTACATAGTTTTCAGGTGTCTCAGTTTGATAATTTTCCTCTTCATTTATTGAGAATAGGTTACTGGGAACCAGATCATGGAGGGCTTCACAGAGTAAGCCAAGGACTTCATGTTTTCTTCCCTGAAAACTGGAAGAATCCATTGCACAATCTTGAACTAAAAAAAAATGACATGGCTACAGTTTTGTTTCAGGAAAATCTTTTCAGAAGGAAGGTGAAAGAGGCTCAGAATTGGGGACACATTTTGAAAGAATGGAGGCCCAGTAGCCCCAGGAAGATGGAATATTTTTAAGGAAGGAATTTTCAAATGGCTTTCCTCATGTTAACTCTTCCCCAAGAGAGGGCCAGCTCTTTTAGCACCTTCCATGCTCCTCCCTGAAAGGACAGCAGTGAGAAGTGTAGATAAGGCAGCTAGCTGCCTGGAAGCTGTTGAAGATGGAGTATGAGATGGCAGAGAAAGAGCCTCTTCTACCAGCTTTTCATATCTAGTATTTACCCTGTCCCCCAAGCCCATGGTGAATTCAGGAACAGGAGAGAAGAATGCAGTTTGTATGGTAGGTCTTATATTCAACTTCATGAGGTCGCTTTATCACTCTATTTTTGTCTTGACACACAGTGGTTTCTCTGAATTTGCCCTAGGTTGATCTGAAATGGGTGAAAAGGAGACCACTCTGAATTTTGATTTTTCCTAATTCTATTCTACATCTCACATTCTATTCATCTGCATCATTTGCAAGGATTTACATATTCAGTCAAATTACAGGATAAAATTGCTCCATAGAGTACAAGCCAGCAATGGATTCATGACCCAATTTTGTATATTCCCACACTCTCTATTAAACTGCTAAGCAGAAATCAATACATAGGATAAATGTGCTTCCAAATTAAATTCCCCTCAAATTTACTTGAAATTTCTGTCTTTTGTGTAGATTTGTTGTTGTTGTTTAGTTTTAGTTTTGTTTTGTTTTGTTTCATTTCTGAGACAGTCTCCTTATAGCCCCAGCTAGCCTAGAACTTACTATGTAGACCAGTCTGGCCTTGATCCCACAGAGATCTGTCTGCCTCTGCCTCCTAAGTGCTGGGATCAAAAGCATGCACCACCAAGCCCAGCTTTCCTTTGTGTTTTATTTTGAGGATTTTCAACTGAGCTGAGGTTCTATGTCAGTGAGGCTTCTGTCAGCACCTGTAACCTGTAATTTCTGCCCAAGATTCCTTTAAAGGGACCTGAGATCCCACAGGACATGCTGGATCATGATAACAGCACTCACTCATTCATGTGACTGAGAAAGCACACAGATCTGTAGCCTCAGAGCAACAGTAATAGAAAAATAACATAACAGGGTTTGGAGCTTAGCATGCTATAGAGCTCACTGAAGATTCGAGCCAGGATCTGACAAGGACTAGCAGTATCTGGAGGATAGAGAAACAAATATAATTTCTGTTTTAGTTTCTCCATGACAGTGGTCAGTTGCTTACCAATACTCTTCACCTCTGCAGATCTGTAGTTCTTACAGTTGTAAAAGCAGAGGTCTTTGAAAAGCAAGAACCTGTGAAATGTGAGATTGTAACCATTGTGACAGAAATAAAGATCTAGAGACCAGCATGCCCCTCCCTTTGACTATCAGACTATTGAAGCCATGGAAGGTAAGGCACTCAGATTCTGTGCTTGGAAAAGGAATAGGTGGAGCCCTGGTGGCAGCCCAAGGAGAAGCTTGTCTTCAGAAAGAGAGTCTACACAGTTCTGACAACTTGGTAGGCCATCCTGCCTGAAAGATTGAGCAGAGATGATGTGGGTCAGTGATAAGTAAAACCACACCTTGAGCAGGGCTATTTACTTATGCATACCTCTTGCCTTCTATTTAAATCTAAACCTCATGCCAAAACCCTGAATATGGACTAGGACTGGTGGTGCCATTGGACCTCTTCCTATTCTCCCAGTGTGCCACATTGAATAAATCTCTTTTCTCTAATTACTTTAACTGGGCCTGTTGAGGATGAGTGACTGAGCCTAGCTTGTCAGGTCTGCTAGGGCACAAACTCTGACCCTAACAACTCTGGTTACAAAAAAGGTTACTTCATGAAAGTAAACTTTAATTTCTTCCATTTTTAATTCTCTTGACACTGGCCAATATGATTCCAGTGGCACATGTCTCTACTGTGGGGACCTAGATGGCCCTGCAAAAATGGTGCCAAGAGGAAGTAAGCAGGGCGCGGCCTGACTTGTCCTGAAGATCATTGGATTGGATGCTGGTCCTTCCGCACCCCTGGGCAGCTTGTGATCAGTGTGTGATCATCGTTGATGCCTATGGGACCCTGCCCATGTGGCAGGTTGACCTTTAAGCTAATTGGGTGCATTCGGGGGAGGGGGTTTCCGAGGGGATTTCCAGACTGTGGTTTTTGCCTATATAAGCTCTGTGACACCTGCAATAAACGAGTTCCTGCTTGACAAGACTCCCTGTTGTGTCTGATTGTCCTCAGGTTGTGGAGGGCTGGCAAAACGGGTGGACAGCCGGCTCACAGTTCCCTGACCCCCATCACTGCAGGTCCCTCCGGGGCAGGACCTTGGGGCAGAACCCCACATCTACCACTTATTTTTGTCTTTTAGCAGGAGTTTATCTT